TTTGATTTTTTGGAATGCTCGTTTTCACCGAATCGTTGATCAGAAGATAAGAGTATCTTGGATAGCAAAGAACCCATACATGTATTTTAATGTCGGGTTCGATTTCGGATCTATCGAAATGTGATTAGACTAAACGCAATAGTAGGTTAATTACGGCTAAGCTAACTGGTTTAATTTCATATGAGTAATTTCGAAAACTATTAGATGGATTTTAGAAGAAATACTTTTCTGAGATGGATAGTTGAAAAGGTTTGAAATCTGGACAAACCGGATCGGAACAACTAATCTTGAAGAGGTCGAGAGCAGTCGACTCGTTGAGTATTGACACTTTTTACTTGCAAATTTCAAGTATAAACAAAAATGGAGTATTGTACAACTCACGTTCTCTAGTTTCTTCATACAAGATGGTTTTCCTCGCGTAAATTCATACAAGATGGTATGATTTTTCTCGTGTAACTTCATACAAAATGGTAACTTCATCACTTCATGTATAAAATTTTAATGGGAATGTCACTAGGAGTGAATAGACTTGAATACAAAGTCGCTTTCTAAACTGAGATATAAAATTTTAATTAAAGATGTTCCAAAAGTGACGCTATTATATTTGAGTCAATTATTAACTGAGATGTTTTTTTTATGCTAGAGTTCCAAAAGTCAATTATTAACTGAGATCGGAACAATCAAGGTTCTCAAGAAACACCAAACCATTAGAAAAAACACAAGAACAATTAAGCATCATATTCCTGAAAGGATGGCAAGATGCTAGTTAGGCCGCAGCCTCTTGTTGTAGGCGTTCATGTAGCCACGATGGCCCTCCCATAGCTAAATAAGATTGGAAACTTCCATCCCTCAACACACTTATTGCTATGTCTCTATAACAATAGTATTTGTGCATACCGCTTCAAGTTCCAGTGAGCAAAATCTGAATATAGCATGCAAGTTTGAGCGATTAAGAACCGATATCGAGGCCATTCCAATGGCTTTGATAGAGCCTCGATAACTGCTAGACAATCCGAAGAAAAACTAGTTTAAGGCACACACAAATCAAGATGGCTTTGTAACGCCCAAATTAGACAACAAAACTCAGCAATGGTTTTGTTCGTAAAGGCTTCCTGGCCATAAAGCAAAACGTGTCCAATGTGATTTCGTACTAACCAAGCTACACCACTACGTAATCGATCATTCCTCCAGTTTGCATTGAGATTGCATTTGATCATACCCGGTGAAGGAGGCTGCCATTTTTAATCAACAAACCGATCTGAGGATTCATTGAATTGGTTCTACAGTAACCTTTTTATTTGCAACATTCCATAACTGTGCTTCCTCACCGATTCGATGTACAATGATGGAGATAGCCTCTTGTGTACCAGCATTTATTACAACGTTCCGATTTTTCCAAATGTTGTAGTGTCCACAGAATTGATCGATTTTGATACAACCGATCCTTCCATTATATCTAGTAAAAACTCCATATTTGTCACTACGGAGCTGCCAAATCCATTTGATGGTGATGGAATTCTAGCTATATTTGTGTGAAGATAAATGTCCATA